GTAGATTGCTTTGGGAAGTATAGACATTTTGACAATGTTGATTCTTCCCAGCCATGAGCATGGTATGTTCTTCCATTTGTTAATATCCTCTGCTATTTCCTTTATTAGGATTTCTTTTTCTTTTTCCACAAATCACAAGTTTCTATTTGAAAATATTGAATTTAATAGAAAATATCACATCATAAACAACTCCATTGATCTATTAGCTTAAAACAGATTGACAGCACAATTACAAAAGCTAAAGACGAAACACTGGTACCAAACACAGGACTTTAAGAGAGGCCTAAGCCAGGCTCTGAAAGATCTTTCCCAGAAGTAGAGGCAGCAGCAGCTTCAAACAGGCACCAAAACAGGAAGGAGGCAACAGCATCCACTCCACAAAGGCTTAAGAGTAAAAGAAGGCCGAAGAATAGACCATCTTGGGAGCAAGGAGTAAAGAACTGGGCAAAAGGGCTGTAGTTCCTGAATATGAGGCCACACCACATGAACTAGAGAGACTTAGAAGAGCTCAATCTTTTAAGTTGGGAAATATTAGAAGCATTTGGTATGTTGTTTTGGCACTCAACTCTCATGGAAGCAGGATAGCAGGACACTTGCGTTGCTACTAAACTTACATTACTCTGGCTGAACATAACACTGAAGTTGTGGCAGTGTCTGCTGCCCCAGCGGGCCTCCTACTTACTAATGAGTATGTAGGAGAGGAGCCACAGTGAGACCTCTGACAAAAACACAGTGTTCTGGTGAGAAAAGGGCTTCTGGCTCTTGGTGCAGGAGGGTCCCTGAGGGAGAGAAGTTTAACATGGCTGGGCCCCTTGAAGCTCTGAGTTTATCAGTAAAAGCCACTTCTTTGGTCCCACCCACCCAAATCCTTTCCCCAGAGAGTCCTCCCAGTTTATGGAAGGGCCAGCAGTGAGAGCAGAAGACAACTGGGGAAGGAATAGTTGTCTTCCATGGCACCTGTACTGACCAGAGGGACTGCCTCCTTGCACTTACTTTGGATACTAGGAGTCTGTACCTTAATCTGGAACAGTGATTCTGAAGTAGGGGCAGGCTTGTGTAAGAGGGGCTCCCAAGACTCTTCAAACCCTAATCCCCACCCCTACCCTCCTCATATGAGAATCAGTGCACGTAAGGATAGGAGTTTCTGACAGGAGTGTATTGTACATATGAATAGTGACTAAGGCAGAACAAAAAGTTAAAAACTCCTAACCTGGGTTTGGCAGATATTAAAATGATGGGGCATATTTTTGAAAAAAATGTTTCTGAGTAAGTTACAAATAATCATTCACCCTATAGCTAAACTTCATGATTAGGCTCCTATCCTCAAAGTCAAGAACAAGAGTTTCATCCACTTATCTGAAGTAACCATATTAGATTAAAGAAATACAATTCTGTTCTCCTAAAGACAACTTCCAGAAAGACTCCACTGTCCCCACGAGGTACTTGATCCTAGGTCCCAGCACAGGCTAATTGCTGTATGGTTTCTTAGAAGACTGACTCTTCTCAATTTCTTTCCCTTTGATACTGTATAGGGAGTCCACCAACTTGTTATGAACAAGCATTAAACCTTTGAAATACTTGACAGTCTTCACTTTCAGCTCCAAGGTGGCATCTTCATCACACACAAACACAGTGCAGGGATGCTGCTGGTAGGCAGACACACTCCACATGTGGTTCACTCCCTCCTCGATGGCCTTGTACAGAGCAAACGCCTTGTGAGCACCTGTGATGAGGATTATCACCTCTCTAGCATGCATGACAGTGCCCACACCCACTGTCAGGGCCATTGTGGGCACCTTGGCCAGCTCTCCATAGAAGAATCTGGCATTAGCCAGGATGGTGTTCATGGCCAGTGTCTTCACATGGGTCCTGGACACCAGGCTAGAGCCTGGCTCATTGAAGGCTGTGTCCAATAGGGCAATCCCTCCAACAAATAGCTTGATCCCACCTGCAGCCTTGATCTTCTCTTCAAAGGCATCACATTCAGCCTGTAGGTCAGCTGCATTCCCATCCAGAATGTGGGTGTTTTCTAGGTGGATGTCAATGTGCTTAAAGAAGTTGTTCCACATGAAGGAGTGGTAACTCTCTGGGTGATCTTGAGGAGGGCCCACATACTCATTCATGTTGAAGGTCTTCACACACGTAAAAGACAGATGGCTATCCTTATAGTACTCAATCAGTTTCTTATAGCAGCCAAGTGGGGTGCTCCCAGGGGGGACCCCAGGGTGAAGTACTTGTCTGGCCCTGGGTTAAACTGGATGATGCGGTTCCTGATGTATTTGGCCACCCACTCACTGGCCTGAGAATAGTGGTCCAAGATGATGAGCTTCATCTTGTCGCGGATGCCTCCCGCAGCTGCCGCACCTACAGAGCTGGCAGCCTGGCCCCCCTTTCTTAGGATTTCATAATTTTCTTTATAGAGGCCCTTCACCTCCTTTGTTAGGTATATTGCTAGGTATTTCATTTTCTTTGAAGCTATGGTGAAGGGAGTTGTGTCCTTAATTAGCCTCTCATCTTGGCTGTTATTGGCGTATACAAAGGCAACTGACTAGTGGACATTGACTTTATATCCTGAGACATTACTGTATTTTTGATGACTTCCAGGAGTTTTGTGGTTGAATCTTTGGGGTTCTCTAAGTGTAAGATCATGTCATCTGCTCCCATTTGGATGCCCTTTATTTCCTTGTCTTGCCTAATTGTATTGGCTAGCAGGGGTCCTCAAACTTTTTAAACAGGGGGCCAGTTCACTGTCCCTCAGACTGTTGGAGGCCTGGACTGCAGGTCCCAGGACAAGTCAGCTGCTAAGCAGGACAGGCAGCGGCAGCAAAAACCCCCACAGGCCAGATAAATGTCCTAGGCGGGCTGCATGTGGCCTGCAGGCTGTAGTTTGAGGACACCTGAACTTCCAGCACTATGTTGAATAGTAATGGTGACAGAGGACAACCTTGTCTGGTTCCAGCTCTAAGTGGAAAAGCTTTCAGTTTTACTCCATCCAGTAAAATATTAGCTGTGGGTTTGTCATAGATAGCTTTGATCAGTTTCAGAAATGTGTCACGTATGCCTATACTCTTCAGTGTTCTAATTAGAAAAGGATGCTGGATTTTATTGAATGCTTTTTCTGCATCTATTGAGAAGATCATATAGTCTTTGGTTTTACTTCTGTTGGTACAGTGAATAATGTTTATAGACTTGCGTATATTAAACCAGCCTTGCAACCCTGGGATGAAACCTACTTGATCATGATGTATGATTTTTTTGATGATAAGCTATAATATATTGGCTAGTATTTTGTTGAGAATTTTTGCATCTATATTCATTAGTGAAATTGGTCTGAAATTCTCCTTTTTAGTTGGGTCTTTTCCTGGTTTTGGTATCAGGGATGTTTGCTTTATAGAAGGTGTTGGGGAAGATTCCTCCCTCCTGAATTTTTTGGAATAATTTCTGGAGTATGAGAATAAGCTCTTCCTTGAAGGTTTGATAGAATTCTGGCATGAAGCCATCCAGACCAGGGCATTATTTTGTTGGAAGATTTTTTATTGTTTCTTTGATCTCAGTGCTTGAAATTGGCCTGTTCAGGAGCTCTATTTCTTCCTGGCTAAGTCTAGGGAGAGGGTGTGATTCCAAATATTGATTCATTTCCTTCACATTTTTCAATTTCAGAGCATAGAGTTTCTGGTAATATTCAGAGATGATCTCTTGTATCTCTGTGGCATCAGTTGTTTTTCCCCTTTATCATTTCTGATTGAGGTTACTAGAGACTTTACTTTTTTATTTTTAGTTAGTCTGGCCAAAGGTTTATCTATTTTATTTTTTCAAACAGCGATTTTTTTAACTAATAAATTTTCATGCCAGTTTTCCTGCACAAAGGAATCTCCCTCCTCATTATACAGAAAAGTGTTCTCCTTAGGAAATTCTAGTGATCCCTATCCTCCTTCCAGAGATACGAGACATAGCATCAATGTTATGTTTAAAAAGTTGAGAAGTCTCATAATAGAGCTGTGTACATTGGACACTTTTTCTTCCATTCTTGTGATACTTTGCTAAGAAGAACATTTTTCAGCTCCATCCATGTAAACATGAAGGACGTAAAGTCTCCATCTTTCTTTATGGCTGCACAGTATTCCATGGTCTACATATACCACAGTTTATTGATCCATTCGTGGATCGATGGGCACTTGGGCTTCTTCCATGTCTTAGCAATTATGAATTGGGCTGCAATAAACATTCTGATACAAATATTTTTGTTGTAATGTGGTTTTTGGTCTTCTGGATATATACCTAATAAAGGAATTGCAGGATCAAATGGCAGGTCTATTTTTAGGTCTCTAAGTGTTCTCCAGACATCTTTCCAAAAGGAACGTATTAGTTTGCATTCCCACCAGTGAATCTTTCTAAGAGTAGAGTATAAATGTCTTAACACAATAACTAAGAAAATGACATAAAGGCTATGTTAACCAGTCTGATGAAAATATTTCAAATTGTATATGAAAACACCACATTGTACCCCATGATTGCATTAATGTACACAGCTATCATTTAATAAAAAAAAAAAAGTTGAGAAGTCAAAAAAAAACCCAGTGCTTCTAAACCCAGGACCTGTGAAAACCTCAGCTGAGTGTTGCCACACAGCAGGACTGAGAATACAATGGCTGCGTTCCCCAGCGTAGTCTCAAGTTACTAAGAACATTCTGTGGAAGGCAGAAAGAAAATAAAGGAAAAATGTCTGTGTAAATAGGGAACTAGGGATGAGAACAATAATCAAAGGGCAGCCTTTCAAAAACACACTTGAAATACGAAACATGAAGGAGGATTAACAGCTAAGCCTTGACAGGGAACCAGAGGAAAACAGACAACTGCCAGGAAGCACAAGAATCCTCAGACCCAAATGGTCCTCAACAAACACCTGCCCAAGTGTTTTCTTTCAGGAAATGGCAGCCTCATCTCTTCTACTGTACCCACCAGACACCTACACATGCTAGACAGCTTCGCCTCAGCACCCCTATACCACCCAACATGTAGTCTCTCTTGAGTCCATCTACTTCTTCTAACCCTAGCTTCCCCCAGTCCAAACAAAGGTTATCTCTTGCCTACTCTGTAGCAATTGTCACCCAACTGATCTCCTGATCAACCCTTGCTTGACATACCTATCCTCCAAAGACCCTCCATGGCCTTGGTAAAACACAGGTGGGATCACGTTGCCCCCCCTGCTGTCTAAACCTCCCCAGTGCTTTCCAGTTCATCTTTCCTTACAAAAACCATTATCCTCCACATGAGATTCCACACATCTGCACCCCTTCCTCTACAACGCACCTGCCATATCTCCTCAGCCCCCTACACAGCATGAATACCCACTTTCTTTGGGTTCTTCAAATACTGTGCACTCTCTTGCTTCAGAGGGAAAAGGATTTGCTCTCTTGCAAATACTGTTCCCTCTGCCTTTCCTTCCTCTCTTTGCCAATTACCTCCTGACTTTCAGAAGTTTGGAAGCCATTTCCTCAGGAAAGTCTTTCCATACTCTCCCTACCCAAGCTTGGAATATTTTGGTCCTTTGGTCCTTTCTTAAATACTTTTTTGCAGCATGGTTGACACGTTGTTGTATTTGTGGGGTAATCTGACTAATCTCTGTCCTTTATATATAAACTTAAGGCTGGAACTATATTTGTTTTCTCAGTTATTTCCTATGTGACTAGCCCAGCACCTGACGCATAGATAAATAGTTATGATGGAAGAGTATATTGATCAATCAATTGCTTGATGGCTAAGGGCTAGGTACAGGAATATTATAGATCCATAATCTAAATATTAATACATCTTTCCAGGGGTAGAAGTGAATTTCAAATGTAGACTAATGCATAATTCAAATGTAGATGCTAATGTGTAAATATACCCCATTTTAAATGTTTTAAGTGTTTTCAATAGCTACTGTATTCACATAGTTCTAATCTAAAACATGTCCACTAGAAGATTGCTTCCATCTGTGCCCTTCCACTCCATAATTCACCACTCTTATAAGTAACTAGTTTAACAACTATCTTAATAGGGCAGTGCCTGTGGCTCAAAGGAGTAGGGTGCCAGCCCCATATGTCAGAGGTAACGGGTTCAAACCCAGCCCCGGCCAAATACTGCAAAACAAAAAATAAATAAATAAATATTTTAATATTGAGGGCATGTGGTATTTGGTTTTCTGGTCTTTAGATACTTCACTCAGGATAATGGTCTCCAGTTCCATCCAAATTGTTAGGAAAAGGCAGCAATCCTTCTTCATGGCTGAGTAGTATTCCAGTGTACATATACCACATTTTGTGAATCTACTCATGAATTGAAGGATACTTGGGTGAAGTCAACATTTTTGCAACTATGAATTGTGCTGCAATAAACATTTGAGTGCAGGTGTCATTTTAATAAAATGACTTTTTCTTCTTTGAGTGAGTACCCAGGAGTGGGATTATAAGCTTCTTTTCACAGATGCAAGAAAATACAAATATTAACTACATTCTTATTCTCACTTTTTTACCCAGAAGACAGCATGCTACACACAGTGTTTGACACCTTGAGTTTTGTTGCTATTTTTGTTTAACTTAACAAAGTACCCCAAAGACTTTCTCTGAATCCTTCACTAAGAGATTCCTTAATCTTTTTTACAGAAGCATCATATTCAATTGTATGGCACCATAATTTGTTTACACTTTCCTCTCTGGCTGTGTCTAGTCTTTTGCTATTTTGAACAGGATTGTAATGAATAGCACAGTTCATGTGTTATTTTGTATATGTTCAGTTCTGACCATCAATCAATTCCTGCCTAAGTAGGATACCTGGATCAAACTGCAAATGCACTAATAATTTTGGTAAATTGGCATCCAGAGGTATTTGGAAGTCAAATCCCATGAAATTATGAAAAAAGGTAAATTATGAGATGGTGGAGTGAGCCTTAGAGGCAGAAATGCCTGGATTAGATTGATCAGTTCTATCATTTATCAGCTATATCAACCTGAGTTAGATAAACTCTCTGAGCTTCAGTTTCCTCATCTATAAATGTAAATAATATTCCCTTTCACAGTGGGTCTGAGGATGAAACATAATAATACTCATGAAGCATTTAGCTTCTTTGCTTGAATGATCACACTCATTCCATGGCTCCTAACAATCCCATCACATGAGGACTCCCAAGTCCTCATCTTCAGCAGAACTCTCTCCTTTTCTCCAGGTACAAGAACACTTGGACACTTTTCTTATGTGCCCCACATCTTTACATCACAAAATATCCAAAACAAAACTTGTGATCTTTTCAAAGATGGCACCTAATACTATATTCCTTTCCTGTGTCTCCCAGTC